TTTAGGTATGATGGTGCCATATTATTAAGGGCCTTGTAGGTTAGGAGGAGAATTTTAAATTGTATTCTAAATTTAACTGGAAGCCAGTGTAATGAAGCTAATACAGGAGAAATGTGATCTCTTCTTCTAGTTCCTGTCATCACTCGTGCTGTAGCATTTTGCAGATAAAGTGCCACAGTTTCTGAACATATGAGACACACATGTTTAATGCTCCCAGTGGGAAGTATGAACAGAAATTAGTCTGTCCATTCCAGATTAAATGCTATTTATTTGTTTCTCTCCCTTTCTCCGTCTCACTCCTGTTTCTCTCCCTTTCTCAGTCTCACTCCTCTGTTTCTCAACTTTCTCCGGCTGAGTCGTCTGTATCTCTCCCTTTGTTTTCTCTACATGTATCACTATCTTTCTTTTCCTTTCTACCGTCTTTTCGTGTGTAACTTGCCTCTAACTCTCTAATCTGTCTGCACTGTAGAGTTGCAATGTTTACTGCCTGGAATGCACAGACTAGATTGGCTGAGTAATATCACGTGGGATGGCTTAACTCACATGCAATTGGTCTGTTTGTTTCCTTATCCACTAAACCACTACGGTAAAGACTACAAAAGCTGCGCCAGTTACAAATAGAGGCGCCCCGTCAGGTTTTAAATCATAACCTTCTGTTTTGTCTGTAGGTCCGTGATCCGTATGGGACGGCTTCTAGGTCCGGACTCGGACCGCGGTCCACCTGTTACTGACCTATGCTTTTGATGATTAAACTAATAAGGTCAATTCATGACGATCAATAGAAGAAAAATTATTCAAACATAAATCTGGTGCTATGGTTTCAGGACCAGACAATGTATCTGTGCTATTCATTGGGAGGAGGTGGTGGATTTCATCAGAGATAGAGGGTTTGACATCATTGTCAATTTTCACATCATCACTATTAAGCTTCTCACAGCATCGAAACAGAAACAGGAGAAAATCTTCCCTCAGAGCCTGATTTATCAAACGACTAACTCATTGGCTTTCAGGACAGCCGTTTTTACCTTCTCATAAATTACACAACCACTAGCACAATGCAGAATAAGCGGCCTGGGCTTTACCAGTTAATACACACTGAAGCAACATAGAGCACTCTGCATCAGAACAACCCCTCATGTCAGCCACAAGATTGTTTTTTTTTTATGGACGGGTTTATTGTTGAGTGGTCAGTGATACAATGCAATTTAAAATAAACACTTTTTGGGAGCATAATCCTACTGAATAAATTGAGGCTTTGCTGTCAACATACTACACCTTTTTTCTATTGAATAATATGCAATGAATTGAATACCTGAATGACCAAAACTGGTGCATATTCAGCTTGAAGAGAACAAGATCTCAACAAATAAAGGTAAATAATAATGGGATATCAAAACAAGAGTTGAATCCTTTAGTTTCTGATCAGAAAAAATAATCTAATTTAGTTTTCAAAAACACATTTACCCCACTCCCATCCAAACCCCCAACTACAGACCCAAGTGCCATGCCTGAGGGTATATTACATTCATGAAGTGATAAAGACAAGGCGCTAGAAGTCTTTAGAAAAAGAAAGCAATTGATTTGCTCATACAGAATCTGTTACTGACAGAGGTCAACTGGCGGACAAATGACAAAAAATTATAAATAAGAAATAATTAATAACAATGATAATAATAGTAATACTCTTATACTAAAACCAAACCACTGAGCGTGGGTGGGTGGGGCAGCATCTCTCCATCCAAGAAGTATCGGCCGTTACAGGTGCTGTTAACAACCAGAACAGCCCTTTTGATCCAAGGTAAAGCAGAATGGATCCATGCTTCAAGACACATGCCAGCCCTTCCCCAGACATCCATGAAGAGGTGATGTATAGAGCACAGACTGTATATAAAGAGGTATAGAGGGAAACGGGGTGGTTCTTCATCCTCCTCCTAATGAGTTGTTTCGAGAGGAGGAGCTTGTGCTGATAACTTAAATGTTCCACACACAAGACACACTATTCAAAATGTACATGCATAGAATAAAAAGAGCTAAATGAACTGCTTAGCAGAGTGTCTGATGATAATCACACTGACATGGTTAAGACTTGACTAAAACAATGAACCTCTGAGTTCCTTATGAGCAAGGAGAAACATGCAGATAATGACGTTTAACTGGATCTGTCAAAATATGCTGTGTTTGATGCATTGTCCAATGTTTAATCCCATTTTTTAATGAGGCTGATTTACAGACCTCCAAGTATATACATGTATTTCCTAGGCAAAGGTAAAGGTAAATGAAATTAATCTTTCTGAGAAGATGATGGCGATAGCTGGACTTCACCCCTGTGGGTGGGGCCAACCATGTTTGTTTCTATCTTGAGACAAATCCCTAATGCTTTCCATGATTTCTGTGTGATTTCTATTAATCAGTGAATTTTTGTCTAATAAATGTGTGTCATAATAATTAAGATATTACAAATGATTTACAGGACTGTTAATTATATATTATATTCATATTCAATATGATTTGATTTTAAAGATTGAATTAGAGCAGGGGTGGAGGATTTACAGAAAGACCGTTTGATCTGGCCTGTGAGGCAATTTATAAACAAACACACATGATAGAGGAAAAGCTTGTAAACTAACTTAATACATCCCATCCAGTTTACTGAGCTGGTAACATACTGTATATTCTGTGCCAAATGTTTTATATGTATTCAAAAGCAATTTTTGCTAACAGATCTAGAGAGTCCATTTTATCTGTTGTTTTTGTTTTGAGTGTCAGATTGAACGTTCTTTACAATTAGGTTAATTGCTCTTTGAAAAGGTGAACTTGTGTAATTGTGCTATAATAATATTATTTTGGCCATCAACCAAAACTAATGTTTTTTATAAGTTTTGTTAATGAGCAGACATGCCAAGAACATAACCAGTTAATATCCATTGATCTGTGCATTTTACATTTGGTAAATGTTTTTTTCTTAATATTGATATCTGTTCTTTGAATGTGAAGTTATGTGAGGGACAGTTTCAGCATACAACAGCAAACCCAACAATTAATAAAACACTTATCTAGTCTTCTATCTAAATTGTCTTTTTCCCATAAAGCATGACTTAAATTTAATTCAACAATGTATCACTGTTGAATAAATCAACAATCACTATTTCTTGCACTTGAACATCCTTATAACTTGCTATCATCTGTCCTCTGATGGAGTTACCTAGAGCCTGTCAGAAGCAGCACAATAGTCTGCAAACTTGTAAAGAAAGCTTTATGCGTAGAATTTTGTTTTTGAACTTTGTGCTCTAAAACAGAAAAGATGACCCCCACTTGGATTGAACACTTATATCAAGGACTGCAGCATTAGCAACATAATTTACTTTATCTAGGTTTAAATAAATATGTTCTTGAAGT